CCAGCCTCAGCAGTGTTGCAATGTAAATCAATGTATTTTCCCCTTTGTCCTAGTGAATAAGTTACTTTGCTCCTGTGAAAAACCCAGCAAGACAGTAGTTACTGTGGAATCTCGGAGCTGTGTTGCAAAGTGGTATTTGTCAGTAGTATAATAGTCTGATCTTTATAATGTTAAACTCCTTTGGATATGTTCTAATTTTATGGAAAATACTTTACACTACTTCTTCATCGAGCCTGATTCAATTAGACTTCTATTCCCAATATATAATTGCCAACCATGATCCATGCATTGTAGCTTCTAAAAACCAGTATAATTTTAAGACATTAAATAAATTGCTCAGTAATCAAGTACACAATGACAGGGATGTCTCAGCTAGGCTGGCTTGGTTCAGGTGACCTTAGGTAAATTCTGCCAACTTTCATTCTTGCTAACTATTCCTGCAGTATCTACTGGGGTCTCATACTCAACTGGATGGGGTCTCTGAAAAGAAGGTCTATGGGTGGGAATCTGTATTCTAGCCTGGAGGGTGTATACTGAAACTCTGCCCCCAGACAAACAAGAAGGAGTGAAGCCTTTGACCCCTAGCTTGATTTAGAACCCCCAAACAGACCACAGTGTCCCCATCCAGCCCAAGATGCACCCTCTGGGTGACAGCATCAGAGGCTCTACTGACAGCTCCCTCTCCTGATCATTAGGTGAATCTCCTCTGGATCCTTCAATCCCTGAGCATTGATTTCCCAGTGGGATATTGGTCTGAGCAGAGAGGAAAAATTTCCTGCTCTTTCCCTGTTCCCAGGAGACCAGGTTAGAACTCAGGTGGAGCTGGCTTCTATTGCTGCTTGTCCATGAAGCTTCCTGCCTTCCTGAAGTCTCACCTCCTTTGCACTGTCACCCAATGTTTAGTTACTGGCTGAGCATCAGGAAGTCTCAGAACAACTCTGGGCTTTGTCAAAGAAGTGGGAGAAACATGGGGTAGAGGGGGTCAGAGCCAGCGATAGGGACCTTGGGGCAGAGAGTGGAGCAGATGGTGTTGGTGAGAGTCCTTCTCTGCCCTGGTCTTCTGCTGTGGCTTCCACTCACTGGCTGTTGTCTCCAGAAGGTGGTGTCCACTTTGAGTAGGGACCTCTGTGGGGAAAAGCAGCAGAAGCACACACTGGTGTGTGTGGGTAGGTGTGTGCGCATGAGTGTGAGCATGCATGCATGCATGCTTGCATGTGCTGGCCTTTTCTTTGCTTGTGCATGTGTGTGCCCATGTAGACTTCTGTTTTCTCACCAACAAGTGGGCTCCCATGTATAGCCATGAGCAGAGTGTATGTATGCGTATCTGTGAGCACATGAGTGTGTATATCAATGCACACATGCTTGTGTGTCAGTGTCATACACCTTCATAAATCATGGACATTAGCCAATCAGAGGCCTGTATGCAGCCACCTCTCCATGACAATGGTGGCATCTCTGGCTGCCCTTCATATTGACACAGCATGTGGATTTGTGGCCCTGGCATTGCACAGAGCTGCACTCCTCCACAGCTGGGGACATGAAGGACTGGGTCACCCCATATCCCAGCTCCATTTGGACCTTGCCTCCATTCGTCCTCCCCAACCTTACACCCCCACACCTTCCCCCAGGCCATGCACCCAGGAGCCCACCAGATCAGAAATGGCTCTGGGATGGCACTCTCTAGTCCTGAGAAACTCGGAATAGGAGCTGGAAAGACACGGTCCACAGGCCAAACCCATTCGCCCCTGTTTTGAAATGAGGCATGAGTGAGTTTTATGTTTTCAAGTTGCTGAAAAAAAATCAAAGCACGAGCAGTAATTGTGACAATTGAAAATTGTATGAAACTCATATTGAATGATTATTTGTTTTTACTGTGATTAAGACATATAACATAAACATGTAACATAAAATTTGCCATGTTAATTGTAGTGGAACGAAATACATTTCACAATTACTCAGTTTCCAAAAGTTATCGTGACTCCAAAGACACTCTGTAACTATTGAGAAAGAGCTCTTCACTTCCCTCCCCCAGCCCCTGCTCAGTTCCCATCTAATCCCGATCTCTACAAATTTGCATATTTTAGCTATTTCATATGACTGGAATCCCACTAGATGTGTCCTTCTGTTTTAGTTTATTATTTAGTTTAATGCTTGCAGAGTTCACCCTTACAGCAAGTGTCAGCACATAGATTCTTTCCCTGGCTGAATGATCGGTGATGAGCACTCACCATGTTCATGCCGGTGTCTGCTGGTGGACACTGTTTTCCCCCATTTTTGGTTACTACAAACATTGCTCCTGTGGACACTGATGTACAAGTGTCTATTTGAGTCCCTGTTTTCCATTCTTTGATGGGGTGGAGTTGTTGGGTGTAAGATAATTCTGTTTTGAGGAACTGCCCAAGTGTTTTCCCCAGTAGTGGAGCCATTCTCCATTCCTGGTGGTAATGTGTGAGGATTCCTGGTCCTCCCCCTTCTCATCAACATTATTATTTTCTTCCTAAGAGTTTATGTTACTTTTGAATTATTAGTCTATTTTTGATTGATGATAATTTTATGTAATTATGAGTTATAAAATGATATTTTGATATGTGTATACATTTATGTAGTGATTAATTCAAGGTTATTGGTCTATCCATCACCTTAAACAGGTATCATATTTTTGTGCTGAGATCATCCAAAATCCTCTCTTCCAGCGATCTTTTATTTATTTTTTTGTTGTTGATTTTATTATTTTTTTTAAATACACGACAACAGTGGAATGCATTACAATCCTTATTACACATATAGAGCATGATTTTGTTGTTTAGTCACCTTCATATGCAATGGAACAAGAGAGTGCATTCCTCCTGTCTGCCTGTACCTTTGTGCCTGTTGACCAACCTGTCTCCATTACCCTTTTCTATCCCGCTGTCCATTCACTGGTAACCCTTACTCTACTCTCCACTTCCAAGAGATCAGCTATTTTAGGTTCATTTGTAGGAATGTTAATAGTATCTCATTGTGATTTTGCATCAAATGCAAATTTTGGTCTCCACAAGTCAAGTTTTATTGGGAGACAGTCACACCTGCTCATTTGTGTGTTACCTGTGATGGCTGCCACTCCTGTTGCAGAGCAGTGTCACTGTGAGGGACCATCAGGTCTGTGAAGCCTAAGACATTTACTATTTTTCCCTTCACAGAAATTTGGTGGCCACTCCATTCAAGCAAGTAGACAGAGTGAGAACCATGTTAGTGAATGTGTGTGTGTGGGGGGGTACACTTCCCTAGGTCAGAGCTCCTTGGTGGGTAGAGGATGTGACAGACAGAAGGACAGACACCACAGGTGTATAAGCCCTCATCCCTGAAACTTCTGACTATTTTTAAACCCACATTTTGTATTCAACTGTGAATATTGTCTTTAAAATCAGAACAAATAAAAAAATACATACTGGGATATTATTTCAATTGCCCTCAGTTCTATTTCCTTTAGTTTTTGTAATAGCTAGCTATTGCTTCAGAACAAGCAGTCCTCAATGCAAATGTTCTAATAAGGATTTTTTTTTTCAACAAATGGGACAATCTGGTTTTCTAATTCTGGCTCAGGAAAAGCACATGGATGTTTTCAGGAGGGCCCATGGCCTGGAATCACATGAGGTGCAGGAATTCATCTCCCTTGTGAGCCATCCTTTGATCTTGAGGACTGAAGTCATCCTGAGCCTGAAGGACACACATAATGAAGGATATGGGTATTGCTCATTTGCTACCTTTATAGTGCTGTGGCAAATTCAGAAAGGGGAGGGATATTTCACTTAGAACAATGGAAGGTTTAATATTTCTAGGCAGCACTGGAAATTTCTAAGCAGAAACACGTCAATGACTCAATAACACAACCTAAAAAAAATGCTGACCAGTCCTCAGTAAACAAACCCCTGACACATGAACACCAACCTTCCCCACTTCAGTGATTATAATTGCAGTATGAAAAGATATATTTGCAAAGTAATGCAATGTGTAATGTAGAAGTTTATCTCATATTTAAAGTCCTCTCTGTTTTTGAGGCCAAAGTAATCATATTTTCATTTCAATTTTTTCTTTCCATCTAGACTTCAAGTGGAGACATGTATTTGAAAATAAGCTTTGCCAGTGATTATAGTAGAGACTGTGGACACCAAGCTGGGCAAGAGAAAAGAATCCCAATGGTGAGAAGAAAAGCCAGTGCTCAGCCATGAAGCTCACTGGTCTGTTGGAATCGGCCTCATCAGGAAGAGCAGCTGAGATGGGGACGCGCGGAGGCATGAGGGACCCACAGGGCAAAGCCATGCTGTGGGATTCCCTCCAGTATAAGATTATTACACAGGCCATCTTAACTGTCAAATGCATTTTTTTTATACACGGAGGACAGCAGATTAGTGTGTTTTAGTATCAACAAAAGAAAAGTCATTTGGTATGACCCATCATTTGAGAAAAAAAAATGTTTTTCAGAAATGCATGTTGTCCCTTGAGATAAGTGTGAATTTCCAATATCTCTAATTCAGGATTGAAAATCACTTTGAGAATGTATGTAGATGATAAGAAAACTGCTCAAATCTCAGAGGGAGCAGAAAGCTTAGCAGCTGTGTTTTATGACTCTCATAGAGAAGTTGAAATCGAAGAAAGAGAAACTCCAGGAAATGGATAGAAGTAACAAGTCATATTTCAAAATTCTAACAAAAAACATTTCTAATTTTTCACTATGAGGCTTTGAGCCCTGT